AAGGACATCCGCTCGGAGGCCGAGCGCCTGGGCAAGACCATCGACCGGCTCATCGCAGACACCAGCACCATCATCACCGAGGCGCGCGTCTACGTGGCCAACAGGGACCTGTTCGGCCTGCTGGACGACGAGGACGACGGCAGCCGCATCCGCGAGCACGAGCTGCTCTACCGCATCAATGCGCAGATGAAGGCCTTCCGCAAGGAGCTGCAGGCCTTCATCGACCGCCTCGAGGTGCCCAAGGCCAGCGACGACCGGGATGCCGAGGAGCCCATATCCGTGAGTCAGGTACAGGTCTGCCTACTGCGCCCTGGCCGTGCCTGGCGAGCCTGGAGCTGCGGCCCCTGGGGGAGCCTCTGATCCCGACCTCCGGCGCCGTCCCTGCGGCAGGGAGCCTGGCTCGGATCCCCCAGGGTGCCCAGTCCCACACTGCACCCTCGGGTCCCCCACGCCCTTCTGCAGGCCTGAGGTTTCTGTGACCCAGGCCCCAGACATCACTCCCTCGCCTTTGAAAGGGGCGATGTGACACCAGCACCCTCGATTTTCACGTACAGATGAATGGTCGTTAAGGTATTATCTGTCGGTATTTTTCAGTATTTCCGTAGTATTCAAGAACAGATCTCCCTGCAAGAAGGTCCTGAATAGGAATCTTGACTCACAAACGAAGTCAACATTTGAAGATTCCTACACAAAATGTTGACCGGAGGCTTCTGAGGCATTGAGTTTAAGATTTACAAAAATAATTACCAAGTGGTCAGCATTGCTGATCCATGTAGAAATCAGTGGTAAAGAGGATCTTGCACCTAGAGCCCCACCGAATGCACAGTGGATGCCTCCCCTTTACCATAAGCAGGAGTTGCCCAGACGTTATTTCTAGAGACTGTTACAGTCAGTCCCTTCTAGAGGGAAGAACTCAGGTCTGGTGAAGGACTCTTCCCAGTAGCGTTCAGACAACATTAATCCAGGGAAATGGAAATAACAATCCCATAACAGGGAAAACCAGTATTTTTCCTCCATCCCGATTTGTAGAGGCACCGGATGAGTGGGACTGAGCTGCTTTGGCCAGGTATGGTGGCCACTGAAAGAAAGATGCACTTTGTCAGAAGGAGCCACAGAGTGCACTTTATGAAACGAGGCAGGCCTGGTGTCCTGTATCCATTGGAGAACCCGTGGCAGTACAGCAGCATGCATGGCTTTTAAGACCTGCCAGACATCGGGTTTGAATACCAGCTTATGCAGAAAAGCATGACACTGGATCCGCTGCCTGCCCCTCACAGCTAGCAGAATTGCAGCCCTGTGTTTATTTATCTTGCACGTTGCTATGCTTTGCTGTGATGGGGGCGGTTATATTGAAACTTCTTGGGTTTTGAAATGTTGAAATTTACTTTTTCCTATTTATTATATCAAATCTTTAGTTTTTCCTTTTCTTGTTCCATATTTTTTTAATACTCCAAGCATGTGTGTTTTCATTTTGATTCTTGGGGAAAATTGAAATTGGAGCGAGAGAAAGCACTGTGGATAAATACTAACTTCAGGTGTGGTAAGATAGGTTTGACGGGAGATTCTTTATCTTGAATGAATATTTAAATTAGCTGATTTAAATGTAAGTTTTAAAAATTATTATTAATTAATTCTTCTTTTTGTCTTTGCATTTACCTTCCCAGATGTTCCAGCCTATCATTTTACTTATTCTCATTCTAGTATTATTTTCATCACTTTCCTACACAACGATATTTAAACTTGTCTTCCTTTTTACACTGTTTTTTGTACTGTGAATCTTTCATCATTTACCATTCATTGTAGTATTTTCAGTTTGTTTATTTTGTTCACCCTTCAAGACAAGAAGTAAAAGAAGTATAATTTCTGTAGTAACCAATGCTGTAAAAACACTGAAGACTGCTTCTTTCTGTAAAAAGAAAAAAACTCATCTTACCACTACAAATTCAGTAAGAAGCCCAAGCACGAAAATATTTCAGGTAAGAGTATGGGGAATCAATGCAGTGTGGCCTTTGTGGAAACTTATGTTCTAAGGCTGTCCTGTCTGTCTGTGGCGATGTGTTTGAATGTGTGCACATGGATTAGGCCTTAATCCATTGAGAGAAGAGTTATCCCCATCCTGTGGTGTTTGACCAGCTTCTCACAAAATCAGATGTTTCTAGGCTTACTTATTTCACTTGGAGTCTCCTAGTGCTTAAGCCTTGTTGCCCGCAGTGCCACTGCCCTCAGCAGATTGCCACACAGAACTGCCTTCTGAGCAAGAAACATGGCAGAGATATTTCAAGTGGGAAAAAAATCACATTCTCTAGAGTTTCATTAAGTTGGAACCCAAGGTCAAAAGCACAGTTCTGTAGAGAGTCACTCTCTAGACAACCACATTGTTGAACATGAGCACCCCCTTTCTCCACATGCCCAGAACGGTCTGCATGGACTCCAAGCACCCAATGCCCCTCTTCTGTCCATCCTGTTGGGAGTTTACCCAGTGGAAATCTGGAATGCAGTAGGGCCGCCCCAAACTCAGCCCAGATGGCACTGCTGGAATCCTGAACTCAGAAGTACTCACAGGGTGGCTAGCAAACACAAGAACTTGGATGCAGTGAACTATCTGGGTCTCTGCAATGACAATAATTTCTAGAAAAGCTTTGCTCTGTGACAAAATTGGGAACTAGTCATGACCCTTTGAATCCCAGGAGTTTAACTTACAAAGGGCTGCAATGTATCTAGAGCCTCAACCTCCTACAGAGCCATTTTACTATGAATATTACTAGTATTCTTTTTAAACCCACATTAGTCAAAACACTCGATGTAAAATAATTGCTCTTATTCATCACAGCATATGTCTGGGGTCAGAGAATTTTTTGCTTTTTTGTTTGGTTTGGTTTTTGTTGTTATTTTTTATTTGACTTCTTTTGGGTTTGGGGAAGGAGGAAGAAAATCCTGGATTAAGAAGTAGTGAGCAGTTGGAATACATCGATAAATACTTTTGACTTTCACTCTAGGGAGTCAAGAGACTAGAATTCAGGCAGGACTTCATGATAAAAAGAAGAGAGAGTAAATCCTATGTTGATCAATTATTATTACAGAGATTTCTACATTTTCAACAACTGCATCTTAAAGATGGCAACCACCTCAACACCTTCCTCACAAGTGCAAGATCCCGAGTTCTATCTCTGGTCCCCAGAAAAAGAAAAAAAAAAAAAAAAAAAAAAAAAAAGGAA